ACCAAATAAAATGTAAGAAATACACAACGAATAACAATAGTCTAGAACTGCCTTCACTTTGTGTAGTGATAAGGAGTTATTTTAGGGTAGAAGGAGTCTTGCCTTGAGTTATGCAGTTAGTCACTTGAAAGAGGAACTTTTCATTTCTAGTTTTAAAAGTTAGAAGCAGAAGATTGTTATGCATGGTGTTGATTGACAGACCCCATTATGCCATTAGAAAGCTGCCACTCCCATTTCAGAACAATACTGGATTTAACAGGTTTCATCTAGGGAAATAAGTGAATGAATAAACACATGAACATTTGTGAAGTTCTTTAAAAAACATTCTCAAAAATTTTAAATGAAAGAAATCTCTATAGTTCCAGTAGTGATTAAAAACCAATTACCATCCACCCTAACCCACAAAAAATGCCTGCTTGAACAGTCTGTGAAGAGCAGAGAGAACTAAATGGTAAATATAAAAAAAATTGTATAGAAAATGAGAGATAGAAGCAGGAATAGAAAATATAAGAAAGGAAAATAAAGTGAGGAAGAGGAGGCTAGCCAAAGCTCAAAGGGTCTTGATATTGACATTTTGTTCAATAAAGCCTCCTCCTTGTTTCCTTCCTTATTCTTGCATATATGAGTGGACAAAGAAGCTTTAACTCAGTAAATGCAAGAGATAGATGCGCCTTATCAGTCAATGTCTCCTGCTCTTTAGTGCTCTGGGTGCCAGAATTTATTTTCCACTGAGCATCCTTAAAGTTTAGTATTGGAGAGGACTCAATTCTCATGCAAATACTCAGGTAATGGACTATGTGGCAAAGGCTTTGCATAAATGGGAGCTTTACATGTACATGAGCTTTGTAATCAGAAATGAGGGAAGTTGTTTCTGGTGAAAATAACAAGGCAGCATTTGGTACCTAATTTCTTGTGTTGTGCGAAGCTAGAGCTGAAGGATAATAAGCTTATTTGAAAAAGGTCTTTGCAAATTCTTTGAAGAACCAATGTTAATTTACTGATTCAGTCAAGTATGGCTGCTTCCATTTTCTTTATATATCTCTCCTGAATAACCCCAGTTGTAAGAAGGAGAGCATGAAACAAAACTGAATCAGTCCAATTATTTTAATGTGAACAGTTAGTATAGATGAAAAAACTACTCTGTTCTTTTATTTATTTTTATTCTTTCACATTTGCAGCCAATATATATACTGTATATTCTTTACCTTTCTTGCTGCACTTCTAGATGTCCTCAGCAGAATCATAGCCCCCATAGTCACTGAGTGACTAAGGCTGTGAGTACACGGTCAAATACTGTATAGTGGATTCGCTGCAGTCATAATACAGGTTGATTCAAAGTATTTTTTTTCTGATTACACAAAGCAAAGGCCAATTTGAACTAATCCAGCCCTCTTTACCTCTCTTGCTGCACTTCTAGATGTCCTCAGCAGAATCATAGCCCCCATAGTCACTGAGTTACTAAGGCTGTGAGTACATGGTCAAATACAGTGGATTCGCTGCAGTCCTAATACAGGTTGATTCAAAGTATTTTTTTTTTCTGATCACACAAAGCAAAGGCCAATTTGAACTAGTCTAGCCCATCATGGCTTTTATTTCTCAGACACTGCACACCTCTATTTTTTTTCAACCTGGAAGGATTTGAACAGACTTTTCTCCATGTGGTTAGTTGATATATTAGTTGATAGATGTGGGGCCTGTCTGTGGATGGTGTAGGCAGTTGGGACATGATACTCAGGACTGCCCTGTATTCTTCCCCTACCCACCCTGTCTGTCCTCCAGTTTTGTTTTTACTTATATGAGATTAGCACTAGATCCCCTTGTTCCTATTGTGGATATACTAGTTTAACATTAGATCACCTCAAGATGGTGGGGGGAAATAAAAAAATTATAACCAAAATAGAAACTCAGACAAAATAAAAGATGTTCATGTGGTATTTCTGTACACATTAAGAAAAACTTTGGAACACTTCCTCCATTTCTGGAACATTGTATAACCCTTTCAAAACCAAGTGGCTTGTCAGCAAACCATAAAAGGGTCGGCAGAAGTGGGACCATAGGAAGGAAGGAAAGAAAGAGGCCTGTGGGCTGAAATGCAAATTGTATCATGTGAGCACTGAACTCCAGAATCAATCTGAAGCCTCTGTATGATCATTGAATGTGAATTGAGCCATAATACAGGTTGTGAATCAGATCAGTGGTGTAACTGCAGCCTAAATTAGTCCACTGAGTCTGTCCTCACTCTAACAACCAGGTTGCTATCACCTAGTGATTTACAGGGAGAAGCCAGACTCTTCCATAGGATTCACGCATATCAGCATGCAGTTAGTTAGGAAACAGGAAACGTATTTGTTTATCGAAGAGCCAGCACAAGTAACCTTGTGCCAAAGTACAGCAAGTAATAGTTCTAGCTACTCTAAAACAATCTGACATCATTGGTTTTTAACATCGACCAGCCATCCATCACCTAAAATGACGAGATTCCTAGTCTACAAGCTGAGAACAAGACAAGGAGCACTGCTTTATTTTAATCTATCTCCATAGTTTGTGCAAAATGTTTCTGTGCAAAACTTGCATCTTTATCATTTGAGAAGCACAACACATAGCTATCAGGCAGCTGGGAGGGAGGGTAAGTTTTCTCAGGATCAGGCTGACATAGCTGAAGGAGAGACAGTTCTCTGATGTGAAACAGCTGGAGGAGGCAGGGTCAAGGAGAATAAAAGAGTAAGACCAAGAAGGCAGAGGTTTGTCATCTATTTCTGAAGAAAACAATGTGCAGGGGGATGCAACAGAGGAGAATGCTGGATGCTGTCTATCCTCGCCAGTCTGTTTGCCTGTAGCAGGAGTCAGACACCAGAGACTAGCCCATGTGCTTAGACTAGAGATGGACATGAACCTCAGTTCAGAGATTTGTGCTGGTTTGTACATGTTTCACAACAGATGCTGCGTGTTCCCTTCCTCGCCTCCTTGCCCAAGCATCTTCTCTTCTCCTTTAGCTGTTCAGCACTCCCTGGCAGGAACATGGGTTTACCTGCCCTGCCTGTTTGTCTGAGTGGGCAATCAGCAGGGAACTCCTGCCCCTGCTGGGCACTGGTTGAAAAGCTGAAGGGGAGAGGAGTGCACACCGACTGGTGAGTGGGGGTATCCAGGCAGGGGAAGGGAATGCACAGCACACGCCTCCATACTGAGGTTCTTGCCCATCTGTAGCTTGGACAAGGCAGCATTAGCCTGGATACTGCCACAGCCCCAGAGAGACAAGTGATGGATAAAGATGAGCAGCACAGGCTAGCTTTTTTATTTTTTTGCTCATCTATAGAAGCCTTCCATAAGAGAGGTACTTCCTGTACCTAAGCTCTCTTTTCTTTCCTGGTTTCCATAACCTGGACTCTGGGAAACTTCAGTGAAGTTAGCTGGGTCCCCAAGTTGGTTTAGAGACTATAATTCATCCCTTTGAGACTGGGGGGTGGGGAAAGGCAGGGGGAAGTGGTGCTGTACCACTAATAAAAGCTGTTCTAATCCCAAGAAGGTGAGCTGGAGTCCATGGAGTTATTGCTGGAAGACCCCTCCACTCTGCAGGAGAGGGGCTGGTGGAGTCCACAGCATCACACCCCCTTTTTGATTTTTGAGTCACCCTCATGCCTCCTCATTTATCATTTTAAAAATGTTTGAAGGAAAAAGTGAGGCTTATGCCTGTGATTCCCCACTAACTGCTCTATACATAGAGAAGAGTTGGCTGTATAGTAATTTTTGGTTGTTGTTTCAGTGAGGAACCTCATGCATGTGTAGCAGGCTCTTTTCTGGGTCCTTTTAAGGAGAAATGAATGAATGGGGAATGAATTAATGGATATTTAGATGAGGCCCCCACTGAGTGACAAGGGCATGACAGTGGTGCAGCTGTAAATAGCAAGCATGGCCCTTCTCTTCTGTTATGCAGTTATTACATGTGAAATTCATGAATGGTGCAGAATTTCTTATACTGTATCTCACTTCCTTTGGAATTCTCAGGCTAGTTTCATGATTGGCACTGGGTTCTCAAGTGCTCCATGGTATGTATAGAGAGGTGGGCAGAGAGTCTACTAACATAGGCATGAAGTTGCCTGTTCTTCTTTGCACTTGCAAGGAACTGTGTCAGTGTGAAAACATTATTTTCTGACCATATCAGAAAAGAATTAAACCAAAACACAACCAAAAACAAAGAAATAAAAGAAGAAGACAAAGATGATGTGGCACTTTAAACTGCTTTGGTTCTGCCAATTCCAGCATTTAGTCTATCAAGTGGCTTCCAAGTGAGCTGGTTATTTGTGTGACTGGGGAGTAAATGTCCTTGGTATTCTATCCATTTTAAGAGGTGGGTAGTCCTTCCTTTCCAATTATGGATGCCCATTTGATGCAGAGGCTTCAATTTTTTCAGTATTACCTGCTACCTCTCTTCATATGTCATTGGGTGCAAAGCCTCCAAGATGAGGTGATGAAAGCACCACTGCATCTACTAATGCAACTTGTGCAGTGGTGGTGTATGGCTTATACTCACTTTGCTTGCAGAGTTTATTTTTAAAATAAAAACAAATTTAATCATATGTCTTCACAGTATATACCATGTACTGTATACAAGATATCCGATTAGTCTGATTTTTGTCTGTGATTGGCACTCAGATTTTCACAATCCAGAGTCTTACTAATACTTCAGTTAATCTGCTGGACTGGAATCTTTGAAATTCATGAGGGTTGATAGCAAGAGTTCATGAAACATTTTTGAAAGTTAAAAGCAAGTGCTGTTTCGGTAAAAATAGAATTCCAGAAAGTCTGTGATCATGGCAAAAGAAAAGCATTCCATTTTTACAAACTAGGAGCCTCAAGTGGCCTTGAACTATAGTTCCCAGCAGCCCTTGCTGCCCTAGCCAATGGTGAAGGTCTCTGGGAGTTGTAGTCTATGAATATTTAGGCACACATTAATTTATGAGCTCTTTAGTTGACTAAAAAGATCTCTGTTATTGTTTTTGCAGATTCTACAAAGAAAGTTCGGGATGTTTTGCAAGAGTTCCATGGTAATGGTGTGCTAGCAAAGTACAATCCTGAAGGGGTAATTTTAATTCCTTTGCTTCAAATATCATGCTTCTTGACATAAATTAATGTTCTGCGGCATTTCCTTAGTTTGTAAATTTAAAAAAACCATCTTCCAAAATGATAAAGAGATACTGTCCTATAGTAAATCTAAGTTTAGACTTCAGCAGATTCGAAACCTCTTCACACATACATTTTGCAGTCAGGTACACAGAACACATGGAAGCAACTGGATGGTGGTGTCAGAGCTCTTCCTATTTATAGAATTTGTCCTTTGGGGACAGTAGCAATGGATTTGATTTGGGGTAGATATTGCAGAGAGCCTATTCCTAGATGGCTTCTGGATTGAGTAAGAGTGTGTATCCCCATAGATTGTCACAAGGATTTTGTGCTACAGCGTATTTTCCTGTCTGGCAAATAAACTCTTAGACTGATTTTTTTTTTTAAATAGATTCATTAGTGAAATCAAGTAGTATCTGTATTGACATAGTTGTATGGCAGAAAAAGCCATCTGACCTTTAAACTACTTTGTTTATTTGTGCTAGAATTGTTTATTTGCAATTGTATTAATAATACATCTGGAAGCATTGTTTATTGCATGATTAAACAGATTCTTAAATATAAAACTGAACTTTTTGGATAAAAATGCTGTTTTAAGAATGAAAGTAACTACTGATAAGACCTTATTAATATTATATTTCTCTTATTTCTGTGCATACACTCCAGAAGCAAGACATTCTTAAGCAAGTAAGCATTTTTGTTGTTTGTTTCTAAACACATTGATTTTTATAAAATTTTACATTCATACTGTTGCATTGTTGTGTGCCATTAAATTGCTCCTGACAATACCATGAATTAGTTACCTCCTAAAGGTCCTGTTATTAAAAGCCCTGCTCAGACCTTGCAAATGCGAGGTTGCATTTTTCCCCCCCCCATTGAATCAATCCACCTCATATCTGGCCCTCTTATTTGCATGCTGCCCTCAGATATTCCCATCATTATCATCTTTGTCCAGCGAGTCTTGTCTTTTCATGATACGCACAAGAAACAATAGCCTCAGTATTGCTAGCTTTGCAAGTAATGTTCAAGTATTTTTGTTTAAAAAAATTATGGGACAGGTATAGAAAATGTGAAATACTGAATTGATGTTTATCTTTAGTTCATATTGCATATAAAATGCGTAGGTTCTAGGAAACCTATGAGTAAGCTGCAGTGCAGTGGTGAAACAAGGGTGCAGAGATTGTAGCTATTTTTCACTTCAGTTGTAGTTCTTTAGCTAACGGAGTTGCTCCTGTTTTTCTTCTTCTCTGGGATCCTCTCTGATGGACTGGGTAATCCATACTCCCTGCAACTGCTTCATCTGAGGATGAAGGGGTAATGATGTAGAGCAGGGTGAGCAATATGTGGTGAAACATATGAATGCAGGAAGGAATAGAGTAAGCTGATCAGTAGGAATAAACTTGTTTGCATATTTTGCGGAATGAATGTCCTTCGCCTGATCTCATATTGTACAGTTTCAGGTTCAGACATCCTTTTGTCTGTATTACTGTTGTCCCTTGACATAGCCTTTTTCTATTTGATTGCTATTGATTTCAGAACAATTCATTGACAAGCTGGTATAAACAGTGTAACACAATGATGATCTTTCCATAGATGAACTTATTATTATATATTAAAAAACCACCTTGAGCTCATCAGAATTTTTCCAGCATACGCATGATAAGATGGAGAGAGTCTATTAAAGAGCTTGGCATGAAGTTTAGCTCAGGAACCACATTCCCTCCCGCCCCTCCGTTTTTGCATTCCCCAGGATATGCCCCCCCCCAAAATAAATTACAAAAAAAGTCATTTTCCACTCCAGGAACCTCCAAAATCCCAAACCTATAATTGATATATTTAAATGGAATTTAATTACATATTCTGACAAACTGGATATTCCTAGCCTTCTCTAATGACTTCCTGAGTTTGGATTATAGCTCTCGTCATCACTAGCCAGTTGGGCAGTTTGTGATCTGTCAGGGAAGGATGGGAGCTTTCAGGGTTCAGAACACCAACTTGTTCTGTAAAAGTATTTATATATTCATTTCCTGTGCCACTCCGTATGCATAACATTGTTAGCCATATGCCTATTAAAATTCTCAGAAATTACACTAGATCTGCTATGCATTTATTCTGTTTATACATTATATAATTGTTACAATGTGCTCATTTTTGTTGTTGTCACTCTTCCTGTGTCATTTATTGTTACAGAATTTGTGTACGTGTCAAGTTAAGTAAAGCAAATGGCTCTTACGCTTCCTTCTCCTTCTAACATACACAGAAGTTTTTACTTGTTTCCTTGTAGTTTAAATGTAATTTTACAGTATGTATCATGGCAGAGAAAGAGAAAGTGTGTGTTTGTGTATAGAAGATAGTGATGACTAATAATATTCACTTCCCATGATTTTATAACCATGATGACTCAGGGGCATAATAAAGTGGATGAATGTCCTTGACCATCAGTCATAAAAATGATTAAGTGTACCTCTTTATGTTAAAAGTGTTCCAACTGTATGTCATCCAAGATATCACAGACACAGAGTTTATCATTTTAGCTGCCCCGTTTCACTCCCATTCTAAGTGTTGTGAACAGCTTTCTCTTTCCCTTGTAGTAATGAGGAATTATTCCTGACTAATCTGAGAGAACCTGAAGCTTTAAACTAAAAAAGCATCTGTGTAAAACATCTTTATGTCCTCCACACACCGTCATTCTGAAGGAAGAAGTTAATACATCAAATAAAACCTGTACCTTCAGTGTCAGCATTTAATATGTCACTCTTTTTTTCTTGAATTTCTGTCTTGCTGGAGTTCATTGATTCTTTATAACTGCACTTAAAAAAGGGCAGGGCAGAGAGTTTGTGACTGCATTTCAGAAGTTAAAATTTGTATGTAATTAATTGAATGTGAAAGCATTCTGCGATCAGTGTGGCACAAACGACAACGGCTGAACGTGCTGCGCCACAAGCAGTAAGTGAACGGCCCAGTTCTGGGGGAGGGTCAAATCAGCCTGAACACCTGTGATGGTGATATGCGTATTTGTCTCCCCTAGGAGATGAGTACGAATATCCCATCTCTGATGACGACATTTAATTACAGTGGGGTCTTGACTTAAGGATTGAATGTGAAAGCATTTGTTTAGCGCAGGAATGTGCAATATGAGCTGATCTGGAGCCCAGTTTTGTCTCCCCAAAACACGTTGCAGACTGTACTCTCCTGCCACGGAAGTTGGATAATATCTGATCATTGGTTGCAAACTCTTCACCACACCTCCTTTTAAATGCATTGTTGTGGTTAGCCACCATAAGCAAATGACTGCAAGACATTTCATGCAAGCAAAACCCTTTCTTTAATTCAGGTTACTTCCAATTTCCACTGAAACTGATGCCACTAGTTTGCCACCGAAATTCAGGAATGAAGTTTTCCATAATGTATTGAGGAAAAACAGACTTGGGATGCAATCTGAATGACCCTCACCTCTGCTTAAGAATTTCAGGATTTTGTATATTTTCATGGGGAACTTGTTTGCTCTGTGTATTGAAGCCTTTTATGGGTGGCTTGGAATACATAAAATTTAAGGGCATTGCGTTCAAGTCGCATGAGCTTTAAAATTGCTAAAGGAATCCTTTTAATCCCAGTCAATTTCCTGCTGATGATCACATAATTCCTTTTGTACAGGAAGAGCTGCCCAACAGGGTTTCAGCCAATGGATGACAGCTAGAGATGGGATATTTGTAATCATCTCCCATGGGAGATGAATACAAGTATTGCAACCACAGGTGGCTGGCCCTATTGGACCCTGCCCCCCTCAGAACTCAGCTGTCCACTTACTGTTTATGGTGGAGTGTGCAAGGCCGGTGTCATTTGCACCATGCCAAGCGCAGAAGTAGCCTGGCTGGGGCTTCATGCCTCCCTGCACTGCTGACCTGTCTGGTGAGGAGACAGGATGACGAGTCTCCCCACTCAACTGCCAAGTGGTCAGCAGCGCAAGGAGATGGGGAAGTCCCGGCCAGACTAATTCTGCGATCAGTGTGACACAAACGACAACGGCTGAACGTGCTGCGCCACAAGCAGTAAGTGAACGGCCCAGTTCTGGGGGAGGGTCAAATCAGCCTGAACACCTGTGATGGTGATATGCGTATTTGTCTCCCCTAGGAGATGAGTACGAATATCCCATCTCTGATGGTGACATTTAATTATTTCAAAAATATGTTCACTGTTTCTGCTCTTGCAGTATATCAGTTTGCCAGCAGCAGCAAACAAAAAAGCAAAGCAAAAAAAGCAAAGTGTGCTGCTTATATACTGCCCCATAGTGCTTCAAGCATTCTCTGGGCAGTTTACAATTATGCAGGCTAGCTGGGTAGTCATTTTACCAACCTTGGAAGGATAGAAGGCTGAGTCCAACCTTGAACCAGCTACCTGGGATTTGAACCTCAGGTCGTGAGCACAGTTTTGGCTCCAGTACAGCAGTTTAACCGCTGTGCCACGAGGCTCATTTGTAAAAAGAGGTTAATTTGTATATTGAGATCTCCAGGCATAACTAATTCCTTGTCTCCATCTATAGACAATTGATTTAGAAGGTTTCAAATTATTCATGAAGACTTTCCTGGAGGCTGAGTTGCCAGAAGAATTCTGTGAACATCTCTTTATGTCATTTGGAAACAAGGGCCCTCACAGTAGTCCTGTGGTAAAGAATAGGCCCCCTCTCATTCCAGGAGGTGAGTACCTGAGCAAAATATGGTGTCTGTTCATTGTATAACAAAAATTATGAGCTTTAAATTTATCTTGAATGGAACTGTTACCATATCTCCCCTCCATACCCTAAAATTACCACCTATTTTAGGAGCTGAATGCTCCTTGGTAATTCTCTATCTTTTTAAAATATCTCCTCCTTCGTACAGTTGGAAACGGAATAAAATAGGTGCAAATTTAATTTGAATAGGGAGTGAGTGTCATTTGGAAAGCTGTATGTCTAACTGCAGTCAGGTGAATTGAATATAGTACAGTAGTGGTTCCCAGTTTAGGTAACTCAGGTGTTTTTAGATTGTAGTTCCCAGAATCCTTCACTATAAGCTGTGCTAGTTGAGGTTTCTGGGAATTGTAGTCCAAGAACACCTGGGTTCACCAATGTTGGGAACCACTGCTGTAGAAATAAATGATACATGGTTGAAGCAGCGTAGGACAAAAACATTTGAGACAATGATTCGGTGTAGGGAAAATGTACAAGGCAATATTAAATGTCATTATAATATTTGATGTACCCTCCCTGTGTTTTATATACTGTACATGTTCTCTTAATACCATTTCCCCGAAAATAAGACCTAACCTGAAAATAAGCCCTAGTATGATTTTTTAAGGATGCTCATAATATAAGCACTACCCCCGACGTAAGTGCCAGTTAAGTGAAAATCTGCCCTCCACTATTGTGCAGCAAGCAGAAGAAGATGGCATGACTGTGTTTGAATAAATGTACATTGTTGTACATGGAGAAAAAAATCCCCTGAAAATAAGCCTGGAGCAAAAATTAATATAAGACCCTGGCTTATTTTTGGGGAAACACGGTAGTCATTGTATAAACTACATGGGAATATAGCTTTAAATATCCCACCAAATTAAACAAGAGCTGCCGTTTGTGTACTGCTGAATTATTGCCTGGGTCTTTTTTTTTTTTATTTACAGTCCAGAATGTTCTAATGCCCTTTTAATGTTCCCTAAAGTCACAAAGACCTAATTGCATCTGGATAGCTTTCTCTGTTTTACAAACAGTTTAATAATCTTGTTATACATTGATAATGTACTGTTCAGGGGATTATCATTAATTAATGCATGCTGTGATTTGCTTGTTGTACTGGAATGTGTTGCACATGAACTGGAATGTGTTATGTATCTCCTTTTAAGACAAAATAGCAAATTTGATTTGAATGTGGCACACGCAATAAAGCTAGAAGAACAAGTAGATCAAATGAAAGTGAGAGCACTTTACATAAATTTCTACAAAGCTAATGCAGAAATCAAAATACCTTTATTAAGGCCATCTGGAAGTTGACAAAGAAATAACCCAATATTCATCACTTTGAATGTTAAACAAAAGGCACAAACAGTTTGCTCAGCATGACAAAAAAGGATTGGAGTCTGCTATTTTTAATGGCCTTGAAAGAATACGGTGGAGATTTTTGCAGATTAGATTGGATTTATAAATAAATGTACCAGGAACTGAATCTCATTCAAATGAATGCATTAGGTGCATATACTTGTGTGCCAACTATGGCTGAAATCTAATAGTAAATTTCAGCTAGATTAGACCAATTGAATCTGTGGAATCTATGGACTAGTTACTCACCAAATCCTCAATGATTCAGTGGGCCCATTGATAATGTACTACTAGATTTCAGCCATTAAACCATAGTTTTAACCATAGTTGGTTGCTTAAAACAAGAATTACATGGCAGACAATCAAGAAAGCAATTTGTTTTCTTCCCCATTTCGAGATAGTTTCTCTTCGGCTCCTTTTATTATTTATTTATTTAAAATATGTTTACCCTACCTTTTCCCCCAAAAGGAAAGGCAATGTGATGATTATTAGTTTCTGTTTGTTGTTTAGCAGCTACAGGAAAAAGAGACACAATCCATGGTTTGGATGTTATGACAAATGATGGTTTAAATGAGGTAGAGCTCAAGTATACAATGATCAATCATTTCAACAATAGGTTAGCAAACACGTTAGCCAGGGTGGTCCTGCACATCACAACATGCCAGATATTGATAAACAACACCATAGCTTGTTGAGATATTTGAATGCAGTTATTGTACTTAGGTAAAGATAAAGGTTCCCTTGACATTTATTCCAGTCCGACTCTAGGCCACGGTGCTCATCCCCATTTCCAAGCCATAGAGCCAGCGTTTGTCCAAAGACAGTTTCCGCGGTCATATGGCCAGTGCGACTAGACATGGAACACCGTTACCTTCCCACCGTGGTGCTACATATTTATCTACTCGCATTTTAACATACTTTTGAACTGATAGGTTGGCAGGAGCTGGGACAAATGACGGAAGCTCACTCCGTCGTGTCGATTTGATCTTATGACTGCTGGTCTTCCGACCTTGCAGCACAGAGGCTTCTGCGGTTTAACCCACAGCACCACTCACGTTCCTTATTGGAATTAAGCTGCTGTTAAATAAACATGCATAGAATTGCACTGTTAATTTGATTTGTCCATGGTGCAAACAATAAAAAACCCAGTAGGTTTAATCAAATGCAAATGACACAGGCAAGGGAGGCTCGTCTGAGTAGGAATTCAAATACACTGGCTCAAATGCTTTTCATATGTTCTGTTTTCTCTTAAGCAGATTAAAAAAAATAACGATGTGACTATTATTTCAGGTTTGCGCATCACTAAAAGCATGACATCACGATCCTCGACTCCTTCCACTTTGCAGATACCAGAAGTAATTCAGTTGAAAGATATTGTTTGTTATCTTTCCCTTCTTGAAAGAGGAAGACCTGAAGACAAACTAGAATGTATGTACCTAAGTGAAGCAAGTGGTTTTTAAAATCCCTTAAAGTTAGGTGGTTTCTATAATCTGTTAGCAGATATTTCTGTTTCATTACTGCAAATCTGAGGTATAAGAACTTATTCAGAGACTTCACGATTCTTCTACCTCATTTCAAGACTTAATACATCATAGATGGGCATATTTTTGCATATATTTTGTGGATAATCAAGTCTAAGTAGAGTTGTTTCACTATTGCAAAAGGCTTTACCACCTGGTTTTGCAAGTCATTAATGAATTCAGCAGGTGCTATTTCCATCAGCATCCAGAAAGTTTCCTTGGTTTGCTACAGACTGTTTTATTCAGGTATACACATGGACAAATTATAGGAAAATACATGAAAGAACATGTGTGACAATCATGCCATGTGTATGCTTTCTATTTCCTGTAAGGGATGTTGATGAGATCATTCAGAAACTCATATGCCTAACTGACAAGCAAAAACTATTTCTTTAAATGCTCAGAAGTGCTTGTGCACATTGTATCTGAATATTTATATGAATAGATGCAAAATGGGTAGAATTAAAAGTAGAAAACTGCTATCAAGAGAAAACGTTGTATGTGTATATATCAGTCTTTACAAAAAGCTTGGAATTCCAAGCCAAAGAATGACACATAAACTAATACATCAGGACCATTTCGTGACAGACTAGACAATTCAGAATTTTAAAAAATTGGTGGGGTGTGTGTGTAATGCCATGAATCGTGAGTAGCTTATTTACTTTGCATTGTTATTGGTCATTTGGATTGGTTCAGGTATAATGCTAAACCATAAATGAACATTATGAGGATAAGCTTATCCTTCACTAGCTTGGATACTGCCACCTCCTCCTATTTAGTGAGATTGTACAGCAGGATTTGGACACTTTTCTCTTTTTAATTAATCACTGCAAGCATCAGGGAAAGAGCAATGTGTATAAAGGTGGCAGGAAGAGGAATTTGATGACATTGAGGTTACGGCACCCTTAAGCCTTTGTGGACTATGGATTGTCAACCTCTGGCCCATACTTTGGATACTATTCACAGCCAATATGAAACTAAAATGGAAGTGGGTGCTTTTGATCTCCTCCCCTGTACTGGAGGAGGAAGAATGAAGGTGCATGTGCCTCAGGCTTCCTGAAACTCACTTTAGAGCACTAAACCATGTTTAGTACAGTCTTTATAGCACAACCCCTCCCAACCTTGGGGCATCAGCTGTTGTAAGGCTGCAGCTCTGGTCTTCCCCAGCTAGTGTGATTGATGGTCAAGGTTGATAGGGGTTGTAATCCAATATCTGAGGACCCTGGGTTAGATAAGTTTAATTTTATGTTGTATCCACATGCAGCCAATGAAAATGATAGCTTTTTATTTAACTAGTCTTTGTTGTGAGAAATACACTGTTTGAAGTTCTTCCAATAGAGAAGTGGCACAGAGAGTAGCCAGAACGGTGCAAAAATTATTATTATTAGTTTTTTTTTTTAAAAGGAGAGAGATCCGTGAACATCTACAAATAAAATCAGAAGAAAACGGGGAATGGTGGAGGGGGACCAAATGTTCTAGCCAAATATTCCTGTGGTATTCAAATGTTCCTATGGTATTCCTATGCTTTTCTGATATTTGGCAACTAGCTTAATGAAACTCTTTATGGTAACATGGAATTAAAGAAACTGATTATCTTTTTATTTTTTTAAAAACTTTTTGAGGCCAACGTACTATATAAATAGTACGTTGGCCTCAAAAAGTTTTTTTAAAAAAACCTGCACAAGTACACTACACTATTTAGTACTTGTGCAGGTTGACTTCTACATTATGTTTTTTCAAATGCCAGTTTGGCAAATGCATATTCCACAAGACTGTGGAAAGCTATACTGTAGTACTATTAAGTGTACAAGAACTGTTGCATGAAAGATGTCACATAACAAACAAGATAGGAAGCTTGCTATACTCAGAAAACAAGTCCACCTGCCCATGTCACTGTGGACCCAAAAATGCTTTCAGTCTTAGCATGCTGAGCATGGAAGTCTGTAGTATGTAGCCTTCATACTATATCAGATCTTCTAGCACAGACCTGGGCAAAGTGCGGCCCGAGGGCCACATACGGCCCACGAGCCACTCCTGACAGGCCCGTGGACAGTTTTGAACATCAAAACCATTTATAGCTCTTTGTCTAAAGTTGATTAGTTGATTGTCTTTAACATATCGCAAAAAAACCTCTTTAGTATCTGTGAAGGTTAACAAGTTTAAAACAAAAACAATCATAACATCACTGTTTCATTTTATTTTTAAGTAAAGTTGGTTTGGCCCCCGAACACAGTTCAGATTTTTCATGTGGCCCTCCTATAGAAATTAATTGCCCACCCCTGTTCTAACACTTAAGGAGTTCTTTGAAGGTTTATGTTCTTAAGGCATGGAAGTCTAGATCACTTCTGGGTGCTTGGGGATCTTGGGTAGATGGAAATGGTGTGAGTGCCTATGACTCAACAGCTGTTTAGCCTTCCATGAGTTCAACAAATGCCTGAATAGAGCTAAACTGTTCTGCAGAGAACATGCTGAACTCCATGGCTATATCATCCTAGACTGATTAGTTTTACTTTTAGGCATAGTACATATTCTCTCTCTCTTCCTGTAAAATCATGACAAGTTAAACAGTAGGAACTGTTGGCTGATTTCTGCCTGCACCTTGATTTTCAAGGTCTATAATGTATAAGTTCATATTTTTAATAGGCTTTGCTGTTAAAAGTAGACAGTAGGCTCTATCTGCTGGAGACTTAGATTCATTGCAAGTTGAGACATCAGATATATTTCAGATCACATATATATTTAGAGTTTTGTTCCTGTGCTGTTGATGTTTTTATAGATAACTCAAGTATGTTGAAAACATGTTTTCCAAAGATAATTATAATTATATTTTAATTGGGTAGGTTTAATTATGTAACATTCATATTGTATTTCTTTAGTAATTCTGTTTATTATTTATGTTGGGGAAGGAGAATGAGAGTGTGTGTGTTATATTTTAAATGAAAAATGTTAACTTTTTGGCAGATTGAGATTTGTTTACACATTTAGCCTGGGATGCACATTTAGGAGGATAAAATGTATGGTCTGTGCAGTCTGAAAATGTAGCTGCCATGTAAACTCTGAATGTAAGAATGGTTTCTACCTTGTAGAAGGTAGATCACCTTATTTGTATATGACATTATCCTTAGGAGTGCATTCTCTTAAGTTTTTTTTAAAAAATGTAGTGTAAAAATTATCACTCTGAGGCCAGAAACCAATGTTACAAATACCTATAATTAGAGTTGGAATCAGAGAAATGTTGCAGAGAGGTGACAGAGGCACTCTTTCTATGTTTGTGCAATCATACTTAAATCATGGAAGACTGATCTGCATAATCCTGGAAGTCAGAGAAACGCATACTGTTTCACTCAGATATTCATATTACAGTGGTGCCTCGCTTTACGATTGCCCCGCATTACAATGAATCTGCTTTCTGACGATCTTTTTGCGATCGCAATTGTGATCTAAATGGGGGAATGTCACATAGCAATGATCGGTTCCCTGCTTTGCAAACCGATATTCGCTTTACGACGATCAAAACAGTTGATCGTCGGGTTTTCAAAATGGCCACTGGGTGCTTAAAATGGCTCCTCGCTGTGTTTAGGGATGGATTCCTCACTATACAGGCAGCGAAAATGGCCGCTGTATGGAGGATCTTTGCTGGACAGTGAGTTTTTACCCCATTGGAATGCATTGAACGGGTTTCAATGTGTTTCAGTGGGGTTTTTAATTTCGCTTTACAATGTTTTCGCTTAACGGCGATTTTCCTGGAACAGTAAGCAAGGCACCACTGTAGTTTCTATATCTTCTTTTTATATATATAACCTGAGGAGAAGGCATATGCATTTATGTTAGTTGATTGCTATAAATTTTTGAGAGGGGAAGGTAGATAGCAGAGAGTTTACACAAACATGGGGGCACTGCCAACATTGACAAAGCTGGAAACTTTGCTGTTGTTTAACTGCTGTTTAATTATGGGTTAAATGTTTTAATACATTGCTGCAAAGTCAAGGGGAGTTAAATGTATCTTCTTGCTTGTTGTCTAAAGGCAGGATTCAGCAAAAATTAATTGAAGTCATACTCACAATGTTGCCACCGTTGATGGTGATATAGAAAGTAATTCTACTAAAATTTTCAGAATTCTGATTCTAAGACTGCATTAGGTTTTCATGTTTGCAGGATGCAAATTTAAAACATGCGCCCATTTTTTTGTTTCTTAAATAATGGTTGCAATATTTAAATCTGTATATCATCTATATATCTATTTTTCTCCCTAGTTATGTTTCGCCTGTATGACACAGATGGGAATGGTTTCCTGGACAGCTCGGTAATTATATTCATTAATAACAACATTGATTAATGCAGAAGCATGACAGAAGAAGTAAGCTTGTAAAAAAATATGTAGGTCTTTGTGTCAGATATGCAACAGACAATTTAATCAGAGCTGTAAGGCTACTGAGTTGCATCCAGTATAAATTATTTTTGTTTGCTGTTGATATCAGCATCATGTATTAAGTAGAGTTGGGGTATTTGTACTTGTTTCACCAAATATCGCCACCACTGTTGGCCGGGCCACTTCGGCCCAAGCCCTGGAACTGGCTGGTCCATTTACTGCTTGCGTTTGCAGGGCAGTTGTCATTTGCGCTGTGCCAATCGTAAAAGTAGCCCAGCAGGCACTTTCCTGTCACCCTGCACTGCTGGCCAATCAAGTGAAGAGGCAGGATGAGGAGTTTCCCTGCTCAGCTGCTGAGTGGTCAGCAGTACAGGAAGGCGGGGAAGTGCTGGCTGGGCTACTTCTGCTATTGGCATGGCACAAACAACGGCCATGAGCACTGTGCCACAAGCAGTAAGTGCATCAGTTGGTTCTGGGGGTGGGTCCAAAGGGCCTGGCCACCTGTGGTGGCAGTATTCATATTCATTCCCCCCCCCCGGAAATGAATACGTACAAATATCCTATCTCTAGCGTTGAGTCGTGACTGACTTCCACATTGATTTCTCAGGGAACATAAGTGAAATTGCTAGTCATGATCATAGTGTTTAGTATATTGTACTTCTCATTAAAGATACTTTGGATGTGGTCCTGATGGTTACATCTTCTCTCCAAATATCCTAGATTTTCTGTAGGTTTTGCTGGTATTTGCTACATCATTGATACATTTCTAATACATTCGTGCATCTATTCAACAAATTGTCTTGAATTCAAACCTTTTGTCTGTTCTTGGAACAATATTTTTTGCCCAAAACATCCATTTCTTTCTGTGCCTCCCTGAAAATCTGTTCTTGCCATTTGGGGGGTCATCCCTGGAATTGAACGATACATACAGCAGAGAGATGTAAAGGGGAGATTGAATCACCAGGAATTGTGGACACTCCTGGTGTGAATGAACTGTTTTCCATTAGTCCAGGTGCTGCACCTCCTTCCTCCAGAACTTAAGAGGTGTCCCACCCTTCCAAGATCTCTCTTGCTCTCTAGGGGATGAAGGAGCAATTCTGCTGTATTCCTCCCAGTTGGTTTCATTTCCTTGAGGACCTAAACTTTCAGGGTTTTTTTTTGGGGGGGGGAGGTTGGGAAGACACACTGGACTTATGTGGGATGAAGATGAACAAAAATGTAACATAAGTGCCCCCAGGCCTTCTACAACAGTGGTTCTTAAACTGGAGTCCCCAGATGTTTATGGGCTGCAATTTCTGGGAGTTGCAGTCCAAGAATACCTGGGCTACCCAAGGTTGAGAACCACTCTTCTAAAGCAATGGTCCCCAACCTTGAGCCTCCAGATGTTCTTGGACTTCAAATCCCAGGAATCAGGACCAGCAGAGGTGGTGGTGAAGGCTTCTGGGAGTTGTTGTCCAAGAACATCTGGAGGCCCAAGGTTGGGGACCATTGGTCTAAAGGACTTGCAAGACTTTTGTAAAACAAACAGGCCAACCAGTCAAGTTCTTTGGGAAACTTGGGACCACTGGCTACAAATAGCCCAGAGTCTGCAGGTTTCCGTTGTGTACACTAGTACTATGGTACCTTCAAATTCAAATCAGTGTAATGTGAACCTGGGTTGTTGCCTCATCTGAAGTATCCACCACAATGCTTGCACATGACAATACATTTAAAAATGGGTCCCATTTCACACATTTGGGTAAAATAAGGTCCTAGATCTCAAAAGGACAAATGCTTCTGAGGCAGGTTATATGCTACATGATGCGAAGGAAGGAAATAAAACCAAGTAGTATTCAGTTAAATTAATGTCTTGTTAGCTTAAGTTCCAATGTCAGATGAAAGGGAAATCAGAAACATTTCAATTCAATGTTATGGCAGGGCATTAAAATGGCATTAATGTACTGTACATAGATGTGATGCTAATTGCATGAACACAACTAATCTGTATTTTTTGCCAAATAAAACCATAGCAACTTCGGGATCATGGGAGGTGTTTGTGAAGGGGTGGAATTAATTTCTCTCCTCCTTTAGCCTGCCATTTGCATTTTACTTCCTTTGAAATTTCAGTTAAAATGCAAGTAGTAGATTTAAGGAGGTGGGGAGAGAGAGAGAATTAAACTTCTACTTAGCACCTCCACCCCATGGCCCTATGGCTGCATAGGTTTCCTCACCTGCTCATTGGTTGCAGTGATGCAGTTAACATTGCCCAAACAATAGTCTTAAGACGGTCCCATGGGAAATAGTGACTAGCCTGCAGCCTTCCAAATTCCTTGCACTGCAGTTCGTATCCTGGCACAGCTCCTTCCATTGCCTGTGCTTTGTGGGGCTAATTGAAATTGGAGTCCAGCTGTAAGTATACAGCTGTAAGTTCCCCACCTCTGCTCATGTGTATACTTAGACTGAGTTTTCATGAACTGTTGAACTGGGGCAGTTGGAACTGTTGTTCCAACAGATAGTTTGGACTTCAAGAAGTCTCAGTTGCATAGCCAATGATCAGAGATTAAGAGGTGCAATCTTTTTAAAAAATCTGGAGAGTCAAGCATTCTCCAGTGTTTCCAAGTGACAGTTGGTTTGATCGTATTTTGCATCGGGTGTACCAGAAAGTGAATACACCTATATCGGAGAATCTGTGCCAGTCCAGATGTTGTCAGACTCAAATTCCCTATCAGCCCTATCAGTTGGTCTGTTGTGAAGGATTAGGAGGTAGTAGTTCTGTAACATCTAGAACAGTGGTGTCGAACTGTGGTTAACATCTAGAACAATGGCTTCCAACCTTGGGTCCCCGGATGTTCATGGACCAAAACTCCCAGAAGCCTTTACCACTGTTTGTGGTGATCAAGATTTCTGGGAGTTGTAGTCCAAGAACATCTGGGCACCACTGATCTAGCAGGTTCTTTATCCCAGCTGTTCAAGACCTTTCTGTTTTTCCAACTGTTGGTTCTGTTGTCTCCTATTTCTTTCTCGCTGTTTAGCTTTATTTCAGCATTAGTATTTTAGTGTTTTATTTCTGTAAGAGAAAATGAAATTTAAAAGTCTTGCTTTATATGATCAGTTCAAATATAAAACACTTTTTCAGTTTGTGTAAGAAAAAAATCACTTAAATTTTAGAATAGTAAGGGAAGAAATGAATATGGATGATTATAAAAGGCTTTTTGTATTTTGTTTTCATGTCCAGGAGCTGGAAAACATCATTGCTCAAATGATGCATGTTGCTGAATATCTTGAATGGGATATCACTGAACTCAGCCCCGTATGTATTTCCACAGATCACTGATCTAATAGCAATGAAAGTATCTAAGGACTATATTGATTCATCTAATGAATTATTTTTATAGCAGTGCAGCTGGATAAAGCCTTTTAGTCCCATATTGCAGTGGGCAGCAAGGACTGTTCCATCAGGTTTCTCCAAAGGAAGGTGAAAATTTTTTAAAGGTGTTGACAGTGGTTGTAGCACAGTTTATTGTTTTTTAATCTGTTGAGGGATTTTTATGGTGAGTTTTTATTTTTGGGTTTTTTGCATGGGTGTTGCAGTTCAAGAACAAGTGGTCTAGTAGATGCTTGGGCTAGCATGATGTGCAGTTTGAAGTCATGCAGCTTGAGAAAGAGCATATCAGTATTTCCAGAAACTTGTCTTTGTAGCTTTGAGAGTCGGTATAGTGCAGCGGTTAAAGTGACAGATTAGGACTCAAGGAGATTTAGATCCTAGTCCTTGCTTGGCCATGTAAACTCAATTTGGGTGGCAGTGGTAATACCACTCATTAAATATCTCTTATAACTTGATAATTCTATTAGGCTTGCTGTAAGTCAGATGGAGCCTGACATAACTATAGCTTTGTGAAATGTGATTCCAAGGCATCACTGCTTACCAGTGCAGGCAAAACAAGTATTTACTCCCCTTCTTTGCACGCACCTTTCCTCCATCATCTTCTGTTCCTCCTGCAGGTGCAAGGCTAGAGTATCTTCTTAGGGGCAAAGGTGTCTTAAGGAGCTGAATATAGGGAACAAAATTGGTACAACAAAACATGTTGATGTCATTTCAAAGAAGCTGTGTAAGACTGAGCAGCTGTTAGGAAAGGCCAAAGTATAAATCAGCTTTAAATCACACTATTGCCTTCTACTTCTATAAGCAATAGATGGACCATAGCATGTACATTTTCTTTCTAATTTGATGTAATTTCCTTTAATATGTAAACCCTTTGTTTTTCTTTTTATTCCACAGATTCTTCATGAAATGATGGAAGAGATTGATTACGACCATGATGGCACTGTTTCCTTGGAAGAATGGATCCAGGGTGGAATGACTACAATCCCACTCTTAGTGTTGCTTGGGCTGGAGAGTGTAAGAGCCACTATAGTGATAATCAAAGGATAGCTCTTAAAAAGTGGTAGGGTAACTGCATCTATTGTCTAGCATTTTTGATGTATCTGTTGGTAGATACCCACTATCTAGCCCTGTGTCATTATTTTTCTATACTGATATGTGTTACTGGTTATGGTGCAATAGTTTTGATTCACTAGGAGCTGCCATTATAAGAGTATGGGATTGATATTTCTCGTGTTCCAAGAAATCCTAAAATTGGGGAAAAGGGAAAAAGTAACCTTAAGGAGTCACATGGGAGACTTGCCTGCTTCTGTCTGCTGTAGAGGTCTAGGTCAAAATAATCTTCACATTGGATGTTTTCTGTGGCTGTAATCTGCACACATATAAAAGGCATTTTTCATAGGAATGTATGGAGCTGCCTTCCCTTGAGTCGCGCTCTTGGTTCCTGTACCCCAATATTGTCAATTTTGATTTGCAGACGCTGTCTAGCATTTCAGAGTATTTGTTCCTTTACCTAACTGGAAATGTTTTGCATTCTCTACCTTGTTTCCCCCAAAATATGACAGAGTCTTATATTAATTTTTGCTAAAAACAAAAACAAACAAAAAAACAGCAACACCACATTAGGGCTTATTTTCGGGGGATGTTTTATTTTTTTCAAGTACAACAATCTACATTTATTCAAATACCATCACTTATTTTATTTATTATTATTAATTTATTCCCATTCTCTTTCCCCTCTTTTAAATGTACCTGGTGCCACTTCCTTCAGGGGTGCCTCTGCCGCTGCCAGGAAGTGCCAGGGTGGTGGCTCCAATGGCACACTTACATACATACATAGGCATCCTTCAGTCTACTCCGCCGCTGCCAGGGTGGTGGCTCCGATGGCACACATACATACATAGGCATCCTTCAGTCTTGAGAGACTATGGTAACGTGCTCTGTATGGAGGACTTGGCACAGCATCTGGTGTTTTGATGCTGTATGTGAAGCTGGCATGTCCTCTCCAGGGCACGAAGCCTGGGTAAAATAATATGGAGGACAGGCTGTTACCCAAGCAGCAAATCCCCCCTCTCCACATCACTGAAATAGTCCAATGGAGAGACAAGAGCCAATACAACTGGTTCCAGCGACGTTGCAGGAGTTGACAGAATGACACGAACTGCCTCCGGGACTCCAGCTCCGGATTTTGCCTTGAGGTTAACTCCTGAAGCCTTTTCCATCAGTGGATATAGCCACAAGGCAGTGGGGGTTTGAAATTGGAGTTTTCCTTCTCCTAGATGGGCTGCCTCCCAAGGCTGACGAGCCACACCTACCTACTCTGCATACTGCAGAGGCACGATCCCCAAGAGCTGTTGGGAATTTAGGAGCCAAGGAACAAGTTCCTGGTGGTGTGCAGCTCCCTCCCTGGCCACCCAGCCCCTCCATGAGCGAGGGAGGTGGGAGAGGAGGGGAAGAAGTTTTAAGTCTCTCTCAAGGGCTTGTAGGATCCCGGTGACTCCCTGGTGGAGGGCAAGGTTTCACTTAACTGGTGACTCCCTGGTGGAGGGTAAGGTTTCACTTAACGAGGGCTTATTTTTGGGGTAGGGCTTATATTACAATAATCTTGAAAAATCATACTAGGGCTTATTTTCAGGGTAGGGCTTATTTTCGGCGAAACACGGTAGTAGCCTCCTATCTAAGTACTACCCAAAACTGGCCATGCTTAGTTCCTGAGATCAGTTGAGATCTGTGTGTCCTGTACAGTTGTTCCCGATTTTTCTGGAATGTTCCTGGTATATCTCATCCTAATCACAAAAGTCATTCTTGGGACCTCTCTAGGTTTTTCCCTTTTGTCTTTTGAAATGAAAGTTTGAAAAATTTTAAATTTGAATCCGTTATCTCCATCAACAAGTCCTCTCTTCTATGTAGAGAGATAACATTTGAGTGGGACCAATGTTTACTTTACGCCATGTGGAGATACAATGCTGCATCAGGGGGCATGCAGCTGAGCCAGTGTAGCTGCCCATTGGCTTCTGGTCATGGACAACCCCACACGCATGGGGCAGCTCTCTGGAAAATTAGAAGGAATGTTGGGTAGGACTTTGAGGAAAAGGGACTCTCAGTCTGGCAGGAGCCTCCAGGCTGAATTAAGGGACTGGGAGCCATCAAAATGGCAGGAGGAGAGCAAGTCCTCTTACCTCTCTGCCATTATCATGCCTCTTCTTTGCGACCAGCCTCCATCAGAAGTCATTCTCCCATACACCTTTATGAGGCAATCCTCACAACTCACAAAGATCTCTGGTGCAGTTTTCAGAAGGCACAAAGAAGCAGGAACAGAATGGAGGCAAAAGGGTTGCTTTACTTCCTGCCATTTTAATTGCTTCCAGTCCCATAATTTGGCCTGAAGAAATTCTCACCGAATAGTGGGACTGGGAGTCCCCTCCCCCAGTGTCCCATCTCTAGATGGCATTCGAGCCTCTATATAAATATTTTAAAATGCAGTTTCATGATTGATTGAGCAGCTTTTTAGAAAGTATAGAATCCATATGAATAAGCGAAATACACATGATAAAATGACAATAAAAAGTGCTCTATCTGATTGTGTAGTATCTATTTTTATTTTATTACCATTAGCTGCTTGTTATTTCTCTTTTCATTCTTTTTTAGTTTCTCTGCAGGCAAAGCTTTTATTGAAATAAATGGGAAGTTTGCCTACCAAGCAGCTGCAAAATTGATTAATAAAAGTAATAATTATCATTAAAATTGTATTTGTATGTCACCGTTACTACAGCAATTAGGATGCTGAACCAAACAATTAAAATACAGTAGAATTATGCTTTAATAGTTTAATAATAGGATCATATTTGCATAATACAACTAATATCATATTTTGTGTTTTTGTAATAGTCATTAAAAAACTAGCAGATCAAAATTAATGAACTTAATTGTATTCTTTATATTCTTTCAGGAAGCCTTTGCTACTTTGTTTTGCTTGTTAAAACTTCATTTTCTTTTACTGTTTTTTACATTATAAATAATGCTTATTTGTCTGTTTAGGTAATCTGACTTGTACTAAGGCTGTTACTCAGTGTTGTCAGGAATGTGAAAAATCTGTTTAAATTTTTTTTTGCCATTTATCTGAACTCCACCTGCATCTTTTCCTTGTATTTGTTTTTATTAGTGGTCTTTTCTTTCATAAATCTTCTTATACTTTAAATACCATTATTTACATGCTTTGCATAATATATGCATTTTCTCCATTGACAGAGGTATGTTTCTGCATATTTTTTTCCAAGTGTGCTCATTTGAGTTTTGGCTTTTCACTAAGTATGCATATGCCATTGGCCCTAAGGTTTGCTAGGCAAAGGAAAAGAGAAAGATACTCTTCGGGATGGTGGCATGAGGTTTTGGGGACAGAAAAATTCATGGGGGGGGGAAAGAAAGCTTGTATAAAAAGAAGATTATGGGTCGTTCATAGGCTTGTGTCTAATTTGATTTCCTATCTCAGCCTGGGTTGTCAACCTGACAATCATTTTGGGTACTGTTGGATAAGAAAAATTACCTTTTAATAACTTATGGTTTGATCCTAAATGTAATTACACATTTCTGATACTGGGGATCAATTGCTCTGCCAGGCGGATGTCACTGATTGGGTCAGCGTAGTCTGATATCAAAAAAGATGAGGATTTGTTGGCAGCCCAATGGCTGTACTACCAAGGGGCTGGGACTTAAATGGGAGAGGCATTGCCAAAGAAGCTAAGGTACATGGTTTAATTTTTTTTAAATGCCATGATTAAGGTACAGTTAAGATTGCTACAGTGGGGCTTTGCTAACTGAAAAGGCAAATTTAATTTTTAAAATGTGCTTTTAAGCTGCAACTCCACTTGCCCATTTTAATGGTTCAGAGTCAGATGGGGTCTTTATATGAAGGTGCAGCTACACACTGAGAGAAAACTGCCAGATTGTTATATCCACCCAGAGACATGGGAGAAGCACTTTCAAGATTTCCATAAAGATGCAAATGAGGCCCAGTTGAGATGGAATAGCACACTTGAAGATGTTCCACTATGTTCACCTGTGTCAGCTTCTGAAATACACAATTTAATAGCCCAGATGAAAATGGGAAAAGCCCCTGGAGAAGATCTGAGTCCTCCAGAGGTGGTCAGAAATAATCTAGAATTTTGGGCTCCGGTTCTAGCATCGGTATTTACGTATATCGATGCTACTGGCTGAATTCCAGAAAACTGGGGATTTGCTATCATAGTCCCCATTTTTAAGAACGGAAAGAGAGATGACCCTGCAAACTATAGGCCTATTAGTCTCCTTAGCACAATCTGTAAATTATATACCAGGCACTTATATTGAAAATTTAAAGATTGGCTGGAGCAGGATAAGATGCTTGCAGAAGAGCAGGCAGGCTTCAGGGAAGGTCAATCTACCATTGACCATGCTTGGTATTACAACATCTTATCGAAAAATATACCTCTGATAAAGTAACCTCACTCCATGTAGCTTTCACAGATCTCAAGGCAGCTTTTGACTCAATATCAAGGGTCAAATTATGGAAAAAACTAGAGGCTTCTAATATTGACAGGCGTCTGCTTCAACTTATTCAGGCTCTCTATAGAAATACTGCACTCAAGGTAAGATGGCACACAGCCATCTTACTAATGCCATTCAAACCCCAAAAGGAGTAAAACAAGGCTGCCTTCTGGCTCCACATTTGTTTAACTTTTATATTGATTCTATGGTGGACCAGTTAAAAAATATTGATTTTCATCCCCCTAAAATTGCAGGGAGGCATATAACAACATTACCGTATGCCGATGATGAAGCTATCATCTCTAGGACCCCAATTGGGCTTTGAAGAGCTTTGCAAAGGTTGTCTATATATTGTGAGCAGGAAGATCTGATAATTAATTTTCAAAAAAGAAAAAACATGTCTTTTGCCAAAAGGCCAATAATCCGAACATGGATAATAAATCAGCATAGAACTGATTAGATCCACCAATTTAAATATTTAGGTGTTGTTTTCCAATCTAAGGGCTCTAGGAAAGCACACAGTGATTATGTGGCATTAAATGCCCAGAGAAGTTCTGCTGCAATATTGCAATTTATGAGAATAAAGGGAGGGCATTACATTCCGTCGGCCATTAAATTTTTCCATGCAAGAGCAATAGCCCAACTACTGTATGGCTCCCAATTGGGCCCCTTCCCAAATATTGCAACCTTAGAACATGTGCAATCAAAATTCCTGAGGGCAATGTTAGGAGTCCCCAGAGATGTCACCAATGTAAAACTAAGATTGGAAACTGGTCAAATTAAAATCGAAGCCAGGATATGGGTTGCAATTCTCATGTACTGGCTCCGACTGTCTTATCTCCCTATTGGTCTTGCACCATTGATCCTGCAAGACACCTTAAAGTCAAAATGGGTTCAGTTAATTGAGCAAAAAATAGCCTCTTTGGGTAAAGAAAATTATCAAGCAGCGTATCGAGGACATTGAGAAACAAAATGATTTAAGCAGTGCCCTAGAATTCTACCTTAGGTAGGATAACTTATATAAGGTCACAGCAGCACCTTATTTTGCCCAGTTGGAGCAGCCCAGGCATAGAAGGGTGTTTACTCTGGCCCAGCTTAATGCACTACCTTCAGCAGTGCAGGAGGGACGGTACAAAAAGATTCCCTGGGCAGAGTGCCTTTGTCCATGTGGAATGGAGCAGATAGAAACAACTGAACATGTCCTGTTACAGTGCACATTGTCTCCTCTCTGATTGGCCGATTTCCCAGTTGTACAGAGCAACAATGTATGCATGTGCTGCTGTCTGACTCCAATCCCATTCTTACACACAGGGTTGCCAAATTTCTTACTGCTGCAATGGGCATTAGAAAAAGGACCCTAAAAGTGGATGAGCCTCCGTAGAACATGGTTTGCTAGAAATTTTGAAATTGCTTTAGGGGAGATGTTTTGATGCTGTTGTTGTTCACCTCTCAAACAAGTATTTGCGTTTTAGCCCAATATTTTTGTATATCTCTGTATATTTATATATTTTGATATTTTATTTGTGGCTGGTCTTAGACTGTAATAAAGTTTTTATTCTATTCACCGAGAGAAATGCACATTCACTTGCTGTGAAGTCTCACTGGGGAATTCAGGCCTGTCTGATTTAAGGAGCCTTATTTAAATCAAACTACTTGCAGTTCTACTTACAACCCTGCAAGCAGTGCTGTTCAAAGAACTGTATTAATAGGCAATGAGACTGGCTTTTTTCCTGTCTGATTGTCAACTTACAATATGGGAATTTGCCTTCTTAAGCTGTTAAAAAAAATAACAAGAGTGTTGTCCAAAAGGAGGACCTTTTTTAAAAAGTGTCCTGGGAGAGAGATTTTGCTGGGCAGAGTGTTGACAGTACCCTCTGTGTGTGTGTGTGTGTGTGTGCGTGTGTGTGCGTGCGTGCATGCATGCGTGCGTGCGTGCGTGTGTGTGTGTGTGTGTGTGAGAGAGAGAGAGAATAGGAAAAAAAATCCAAATCAGCCCTCCCCAAAACTAGTTTTTGGTGATATAATCACCAACTGATTTGATTCACATTTCCTATTGATGAATAGGAAAAAATATCCAAATCAGCCCTCCCCAAAACTGTAGTTTTTGGTGATATAATCACCAACTGATTCGGGTCCAGTATCAGCACAGCAGTATCCATAGGCCAAAAATATTACTGTATGTGAGCTGCCACCTTTCCTGCAGTGCAGCCATACTCCCTCAAAGGTACTATAGGAAAGTAAAACAAGGACTGCTTTTCATTGATTACAGTACTGCTTCCATCAGCCTGCTTCTGGGACACACGTTGATCAGAGGGCACTCTCACAAAAGCTGCCTTAAACCTAATTCCAGCTGTATGGCCATACGTCTTGGTTATAAGGAAATAGCTGTATGTTTGAATTAGCAACTTAGTAGTTTTCAATACCATAAATGTCAGAAAATATCATGAATTAACTGACATAAATGTCAGTCTAGTGAAAAAGAGACATGTAGGCAAAGTATTTTTGGACTAATGCTCAACCTCAGTGTGTCTTCTCCTTCCCAGCCGCTAGATGTCAGAGTTGCACTGCAGCTACTGTGACTGTATCATCGGAGATGATTAATTGCAAAGCCTGGTGGCATTCCATCTTATGATATTCCTATAATCAATGGTTTTAAAATTATCACCTTGAGGTGCAAAAAAGGAGAGACACTTGGCTCATGGAAATATAGGCTCAAAGTACAGAGGGTTGTTGCTGAATTGGTCCATAGAGGATGAGGCAGATCAGTAAGATTAATGCAATGGTGATTATCACTATGGCCTTCCTCTGGAACTCTCAGCAGTGGCCTCTCAGACCATGATCTTGGCTAGAATGATGAATCGTCTGCCCTTGTTTGGCAGGAGGTATATTTGAAGTACAGCACATGCATGCTCATACTGGATATAGCTACCTAATGCATGTAAATTACAAGTTTTGGAATCTCTCCCATGTTTCAGCATTAGGCAGTATGTGTACTTTTTGTTCCAGCTTTAAAAAAAGAATTCTTGTAAGGCAGAAACTGTCCATGGAGATTGTAAGACTATAATAAGAGTAGATTAACAGATTATTAACTAGATGCCCAAAATAAATTCTTCCAGATTCAAGGAGGTTGGGATGGGGAAGAAGAGGGCTGATTTAAAAATTCGGTTTTCTGATGAGAGATTGGATCTAAGACAGGTTATACAGTTTTATTGTAGTTCCTTCTTTTTTCCACAGGATGGAGCAGATTTCATTCTTTTGAAAAAAAAATTAAGGGAAAGATTCAGAGAATCTTTGCAAAGTTTATGAACCACTGCAGAACTGATGAGAGTGTGTATCTGCATAAATGACATTGATTGGGTTTCATTTCCCTCTAATCTTTGCATATCTTCCTATTACTGGGATTTAGTAAAATAAAGATACTTCTATTTTTTTTTTTAAAAAAAACCTTCATACTGCTTGGAATAGTTTAGGCTGTGGAAGGAAACAGCCTTATGGCAAGTTAACAAAATTACTATAGTTGTCACCTCTATATAGAATTCAAAGAAAGTTTTAGGTATCCAGAAGCATCTAATAGATCTTTTTAAAAAATGTATAGGGAACATTCTTCACGGGATTCATATCTGTGTTGCAATGTCTAGGAGAATGTTTGACATACCCTCTCCATTAACAAATGTTAAACATACAGTAAATTGATATCTCTAAAATCCAAACAAGACACACACAAAAACAATTGAGATTGTTATAAATGGAGAAAAGGGGGAGAAAAGGTTGTCAGCATTTTAGAGAAGAAATTTTGGGTAGAAGGAAACAAACGAAGGTATCTTAACTTGAGGGTAGAGATTAACAGAAATGACTGAATATGGGGTAACATCTCGATGCAGTTATAAGCATTTTCTTTTAAACATTCTTATGGGGTGGATTACAAACATGACTTTTTCATTCTACACATTAGTTTAAGTTACAAGTATGAAGTATTATACACAGCAATTAACCTGGTTGATACTTGGCAGTAAAACAAGAGCAAAAATCTAATGAGCTATTTCAGAAAAGTGTGTTGTATTTATGCAATGAGATTTGTAGATCAATTGCAGCCTGTAACTCTGGTAAGTATTTTAATTGGCAGAACACCCACACTTAAGACTTGTTTGTTTCTCCGATAAGGAAAATGCCAGCTAAGTTGGTCCATATGTTCTGTTCAAATGGAGGCGAAATCACATGTACTGACCATTCTTCTCGATAAATGGCAAAAATTAAAGTACTGTGAAACTACAAATATATTTTGTTAATTGTTTTATATTAATTTTAATAGAGTAAAATTTTAATTTGGAGAAGCCGTCTTGCCTTCTTACTGGTGACCTTTTAAATGTCTTTTAGGTTAAATGTTTTAGTTTTGATTATAATTCAACATGTTGGCCTATAATCACCTTTCCTTCACTGACTAATCTTTTGGAGACATTGAAAGCTCAGGAAAGGAAAAGCGCATTTTTAAAAAAGGCCCAATATATAGCAGGGAACATATGCATTCATAGCCCTAGCAGAATGAGAATTCATGCACACTAATATATGTCATCCACATATATTGTGCTTGGTTTGGTGATCTAGTTTAAGACACGTGTGTCGCCTGAGCAGATTGTAGCTCATTTTATTGGATTGAAAGGTTTGTGTTACAGTCATAGCCATAGGTCAAAAGCTTTTGAGAATGCAGTTATAAAGGAGATAGGAATGTTTCTTGTTACTGTATGAGTGCGTGTCTGTTGAGAAGAATTATGTTGTGTAATCTCCTGAAAAAAATTAATAAATGAAGAAGTAGATTGTCTTTTATGTTCCTGAGTTAATTTCATTTTTTTTAAATTGGCACTTACAAGTTTCACTGTTTATGTCACCAAATGAGATTCATTTCTTTTTATGCCTTCTGCAGAATGTGAAGGATGATGGGCAGCATGCATGGAGACTGAAACATTTCAACATGCCTGCCTACTGTAATCTTTGCCTGAACATGCTAATAGGAGTAGGCAAACAGGGCCTTTGTTGTTCATGTGAGTATGCACTCTAATTAGCTTTGCTTAGGTTTAAGTGCTCTCTGTATCTCTGTTCACTGTAATAGCTGGAGTACAAGCTTACTGTACAGATTTTCCATAGACCAGTCTTTGCTATATTAGTGAACATCCTTAAGACCAGAAGGTTGGAGTTGCTCTAATATCAGGTAGGACAATAGATGGAACATAAAACATGGTTTCACATTATCAGATGGTGCATAAAACATAACGGACTGTGACATGTCTCAAACTCATAGACCTGCTTCATCTCTGCGGTGGCTATGGGAAGAATTATGGAAACTTTTGTTTCCATTTGATATGAACTGTATCTTATGTTATCTCAGCCTAGAGAATCTCTGGTTAATTGTGACTTTGTGTTGTGTTTTACAATTCAGTTGAGAAGCTGAATTGTTTTGGCTAAACATGGTTAACCACAGCCTAGAATTTAAACAGATCAATCATTCTCAGCTATTGTTGTTATTTAGTCATTAAGTCGTGTCCGACTCTTTGTGACTCCATGGACCAGAGCACGCCAGGCCCTCCCGTCTTCCACTGCCTCCTGGAGTTTGGTCAAATTCATGTTCCCAGCTATGGTCAAGGTCAAGTAAAATCTCTAGCCTTCTCCTTGAAGCCAAGGAGAATGAAAGATGGGGTTTTGAAACAGAGGCTTGCTGAGACTCATTGTTACAATGCTAAAACATGGTTTAACCTTGTATTCCAGCACAAACAGCTTACTACCTTTTACTGAACTCCAACCATGTCACAGTGTCATTCCACTTTGCCATCCCAAGATCTAAAGAAACTTGATTCTAGAGAGTCACTTGTCATTGCAAGGACATAAATCGGACAGCTGTTTTTTCTGTAATCTTTTTTTCTTTAGATTAATGCTATTGCCAAACAGTAGAGGGAGGGATGAATCAAATAATGGGTGCCTTTACTAACAACTGCTCATTGCTTTTCTTTTGGAGGACTCTATTTCTGTCCAGAGAAGATTTTAAAACTCTTTTGCTTTTCTGGATGTTTTTATTGTATTGTGGGGACACTGATTAAGTGTGACTGGAAAAATGGATGATGCTGGAAGTTACTACAGGAACTTGTAGTAGAACCCATACAAACCTCTGTGGCCAATCAACAAAGTTGTCCCCTGCCGTGTGTTTGATTAATGGCTGCCCCTTCCACTGAGTCTGTCTCCACTGAGAGAGACTTGCACATATTACTGAAGACAAAACCAGGAGACAGGTTGTAACACTGGAGAAAATATTTAATTTTTTAAATATAGATGAGCTCCTGAATGTTATCCTTTACAGAAAGATACGCTTAGTTTGTCCTGAATGTAAAGATACACTAAATGTCAACTTTGCCATCATTACATAAATACTGCATCTCTGTTCCATGGAGTCATAGAAGGAAATGTACAGTAGGTGAAAGTAATATAAGGTAGAATGGAGATTTAGGCAGAGAAGCTTTATTGTTGCTAGGAAATTACTTATATTTTTAGTAGATGATCTTTGCATGATGAAATAAAGAGATTGACAATAATTATTATCTAGAAACAAGGCTAATGAGCCGTTTAAGATTGATAAATCAATAGAGAGAATAATATAAACTCATTGCCTTTTCTGTTCAGGTTTGCCAGCTGCTCTTGTGCTTATAGTTTCTAAAATATAGATTTCTTTCTCTTGGCAAATAACACAAAAGCATTTGGCAGTCACTAATTTGTCTTCAGTACATAAATATAATTCATTTCATTCATTTAGAAATTATTGTGAACATTTAGTGAGGTTTGATTTAATTAAGCGTTTCCTGCTCAGCTATTGAAAAGTATTCTTAAATTCTTCCCATCTCCTGGTCATACAGTATTTCCTTAGATGGCTTTTTCTGTTTCAGCGCAAATGGCTAGATTTACATCTTTATTGTCCAGTAAACAGATATTAGTGACTAATGAATGGAATGAAAGATGAGTGGATGACTTATCTTTGTCTATTCCAGATAACCATAAAAGAACCAATTGCACAATATATGTTTCATATTTTTTTTTCAGTTTGCAAATACACGGTCCATGAGCGTTGTGTTTCAAGAGCACCAGCTTCTTGTATTAAAACATATGTCAAATCCAAAAAGAACACTGAGGTAAACTAACACGTATGTTTACACTGCTTGTTTTGGCTGTTTGTGAGCAGGACGTTCCTTTTTGTGATAGTTAAATGTGGACATTCTACAAAAATCTATTTCTACAAAAATCTATTTCCTCAATATCATGTCCAAGGCCACCTCCAGTAAGTGGCCTTGGACATGATATTGAGGATTCCCAGACATTTGGTTCTAGTGTAGTGGAGGCTTTCTACTCAGGCTTCCTAGATGGTGGGCAATTCAGGATTTATGTGGCCGTCTCAGAATATTGTCTGTCCCACATATCTCACTCTTTCACCCTCCATTTGGTATGCTTAAATGAGCGATTTGATTAAGATTTGGCCAGAATTCCGTCTATTCTATAGACAGATTGTTATCTGGTAGTATTCAGATGTGCAAAGGCTCTGGGTTTCTGAGGAGAAAAAGATGACTTTGACAGTCCCATCCTTGAAACTACTAAGTCCTATTGAAGTCCTTGTTGATTTGAGAAAATGTCTTACAAATGTTCCCAAACTTTTAAAATTGTTCCCTGTGCTTGTTTGCTCAGTTCTTTTGGTGCTCTTTGCTTTATGAGTAGAGTGTGATGGTGGCAGGTAGAAAGACCTTATTTTGCCTTCCCCAAACAGATTTGGAAGATGCCTTCATTTAAATATTAGTTGTCATGGGAAAACTTTATAATTTAACAAGGGGCTTCTGTTTTTTTTCCTAGTTTCTACTTGTTTAACTGACACTTACTGACCTGCTGCGTATTTTTCATGTTTAGTTATTTAGGATTCTGTTTGATTTTATTCATATATGGTTTCTTTGGTTTGGGTGAGTGGGGTTGCTTCTTGTTTTAGACATGGTGCTAGAAAAATAGCTCTCTTAAAAATAAAAGTAAATAATTATACCACATACTGCATTTTCTTTCCTAGGTTTTGCATCATTTTTGGGTAGAAGGAAATTGTCCAACGAAATGTGATAAATGTCACAAAACTATAAAGTGTTACCAAGGGTTGACTGGATTGCACTGCGTTTGGTGTCAGATTACGGTGCGTACTTAACAATGATCACATAGGCTGATAATATTGCAACAAACCATTGCAACATAACCTTCTTGTGGGTGTAGTATCAGAGATACTACATTGTGGCTGAAAAAATAAAATAAAAGCACTAAAAACAAATGTCTTCATTCTGAAGGCTTCATTTCAGTTTTCTTTCATGCCAAATTTTTCATCCATGGTTGTTAGGGCCAATAGGAGCTGGAATACAACAATATCTAGAGGGCCACAGGTTCCTCATTTGTATTTTATTTAACACTGCGGATTAAAGAATGGTGTTCATGTCACTTGCCAGTGTAGTGTCCAAAGGATAATTTTTACATTTTCTGTATTGTATTGTCTTCCCTGTGCAACAAGTGTGCAACTTCTTTTCACAGTTGACTCAATAAAGCTGTATTGTTGCCAGATGGTCATGCTCATATCTTCCTCCTTCCTTATTATGTGCATTATGTGAATTCTGACTTCTGGTGACCTTAGTTTTCTAGCTGTAATATGTGGCTTATCATGTGGCTTATTGGTTTTCTAGCTGGAACAAGTGGCTTTACGAGTTTCTCCTTCTGGGGGTGCTCTGGGACTGTGATGCTTGCCTAAGACCATATAAGTTGAAGAGGCACAGAGCGGAATCAAACTTCTGACCCTTACAACACAACCAGTGTTATCCAGCTAGCTCCTCTTTTCCTTATTCTGCATGAATACCTTTCACTTTGCCTGACCCACAGATCCTATAGTCTTCTTCAAGATGGCACACTTTTTCTGTGTATATCACATAATAAAAATAATGAGTGCACAACCATTTCAGTGATAAAAGAGAGATAATCACTAAATGAATAACTAAATAATTGGAGAGACCAATCTGCCGCCAGTGTGTAGGGCTAGAGCTGAAAGTGAGTTGCTAGGCAAGGGAGAGATTTCTGCCAGAAGGCTGAGTGGATAAATTGCAGAGGTTGCTTCAAATCAGGCTGAGAGTTACAGTTTACACACCTGTCATATAAGTATTGTTTAAACAAAGGCTAAGAATTACAATTTAATGTTGAAGTCTGCAAGCCACTAATAACCTCTCCCTGTATATGACACTATTTTGGGGAGGAGGATGATCCTTTCAAACAATCATGAAAAATATTCCTTATCTGCTCTTAAATGAACACATACAGTAAAGTGTGCTGCTTATATGCCACCCTAAGTACTCTCTGGACAGCTTACAAGATAATTATGCAGGCTACCAATTGCCCTCCTCAGCAAGTTGGGAACAGTTTACTGACTGTGAAAGGATGGAAGACTGAGTCCGCTTTGAGCCAGCTACCCGAATCTCACAGCATTGAACTGAGGTTGTGATCAGAGTCTTGACAGCAGTACTGCAGTTTAAGCACTACACCAGTTGCAATCAAGAACTCCTGGTAGTTGATTGCAATTGAATATATTTGGATTTTTAAAATTCTTTTTTGTAATGTGTGTAGTAGAGTGACAGACTAGGACTCAGGAGATCCAAGTCTGAATCCCCTCTTGGACATGGAAACTTGCTAGGGTGGAACTTTTAAAACTGTTCCTTAAGTATCTCACATACAGTCATGTGAAAAAGAAAGGATGCCCTCTTTGAATTCTATGGCTTTATGTATCAGGACATAATAAAAATCATCTGGCCCTTAGCAAGTCTGAAAATTAGGTACATACAACCTCAGATGAACAAACAACACATGACATATTACACCATGTCATGATTTATTTAACAAAAATAAAGCCAAAATGAAGAAGCCTTGTGTGAAAAACTAAGTACACCTCAATTCTTTTTTCCCCAGCCAATCTCTTGTAGATTTGCTGGTGTGCCTGTCCTGTGGCATGACCCAATTTCGGCGAAGCTTTAGCTGTCGGACAGATAGCCTCACACTTGACTTTAGAATAATTTTTCTATACAGAGGATTTAATGGTTGTCTCAATGACAGCAAGGTGCCTAGGTTCTATGGCTGCAAAAGAAGCTCATCACCTCTCCACCACTGTGCTTGACCATTGGTGTGATGTGTTTGTGCTGATGTGCTATGTTTGGTTTTTGCCAAACAGGGCACTGTGCATTATGGCCAAACATCTCCACTTTGGTCTCATCTGACCAAAGGACATTGTTCCAGAAGTCTTGTGGTTTGTCCGTGTCAGAACCACTTCTTCCTAAAGAGGTAGTCTCATCACCTCTCCACCACTGTGCTTGACCGTTGGTATGATGTGTTTGTGCTGATGTGCTATGTTTGGTTTTTGCCAAACAGGGCACTGTGCATTGTGGCCAAACATCTCCACTTTGGTCTCATCTGACCAAAGGACATTGTTCCAGAAGTCTTGTGGTTTGTCCGTGTCAGAACCACTTCTTCCTAAAGAGGTAGTTGGGAGTCTGTGTGTCAGACAGGGTACTACTGTGTGTCAGTGAGTACCAACCTGATAGGTTCAGGTGTCTGTATGGTTAGCCAGAACTGATAGGTTCAGGGTCTGTGCTTCAAGTTAAGTGTTCTGTGTGAACCAAACTGTGTGCATGTATGAATGAGATTAAGCCACGTTACTATATCTTATTCACCTAATCATTTTATTTTCCCTGTGTGTTGTTTTAAATAAACCCTATTCTTTTATTTGTTGAAAATCCATCCCTGGTCTGTGTGACTTCTTATAGGGAATGGTTGGTGGCAGCTTAGTTAACGTGTGGCAGATCCCAGTAGGTCTGGGTTTGTCACATTGATTGGTGTCCAGCGTGTGGGATACGACTGGTCCAGTTGTCCAGTGGT